CTTGATCTTTTGAGTTACGTTGGTGTTGAAATCTTATAGTTTTGTGGGAAGTCAATGCATGAGATAAAAGATTAAAAGAAAACTAAAAAAGAACCTCATATGATTAAGAATTCGAAGAGTCCGATGATATATATTTAGAATAACTCGTGAATTAGTAACACAAACTACTTTTAAACTACATTGGTGTTGCATTCTATGTTAGTCTAACTTGAAAGGCACCATTTGCGCTTCTCTCGGAGTCATGTGTAAACATCATATGGTTGCTTAAACCAAAAATCGCACTGAATCATAGAGTCAAAGTGGAACGTCGATTTATTGCTCATTGTGTGGTTTTATATTCTCGGGATGGAATTGCCAGATTCCAATCATTTCCATCATTTTAATAGCGCATATATGGTAAAACAGGAGAATTGACAAAAACACTTATAAGATATTCTCAAGTGTACACACTCTCTATATATCTTGCTTCATGAACTATGATCCTATTTATAGGACCTAGTTCATGAATCAAATCTCAATAGTGTAAAGAGTATTGGCGATGATAACTCAGAAATTTAACTTATTCTGTTACATATCAGGAGATGTTGATGAAATCGATTATGGAAAAGACCATAGTTTGGATTAGCATTAGTCGAGAGGTTTAGCCGACATCACAATGATTGCATATACAATCATTTAAATAGTCCACGGGTAATGGATATCGTCAAGGTATTATCTGATGTGTTGGATCATGAAGCTAATCTTGGTTCGAGTCTGTCATCAAGGAGCGGAAGGATTCATCAGACGATCTAAGTCAGGATATATTCGATAAAACACTTTCGATGTTTAAGTTAATAAAATTGAAGATCAAAAGGTCTTAAATGCGTTAACGTACCTAAGGTTTTTGATAAAAGACTCTAAGCACTAAGTAGAAGGCTTTACCAGATATAAATTGTCTGAACCATGTGATATAATATTATTGAGCTTACAGAATGGATGAATAGATTTGGACTGATAATAATATGGTATACAGACCTCACATGTTAAATCTTATATATCAAGAAATTATATTATGTTATCTATCCTAATCCAAAATCAAAGGTACAATCCAAAGAATAATCTTTTTATTTTTTAATAATTCTCTTATAGTCTTATTTTTAAGTTTACATTGAAATTTGATTTGACCTATGAAAAGAATATATAGATGTGGACTGACAAGACAAGTTTAATGCTTGATGAAGATTCAACTCTTTCCTTCTCCTATAAGGTATAAATAATTCTACTGATATGAAATGGTGAGAAGGTAGGAATAATTTCTTTAAGCCGTGGTCTCGGGACCGACGCGGTTGGGTTCGGGTTTGAATGATTGAGGATCTTCTTGGGACGTCCCTTGAGACTGCTGAGGTGGTCGACTGCAGTGGCTCGATCACGATGGGACAATCGTTGTTTTCACCGGGAAGAGACTCCTCGCTTGGACGTGCGGTGGGAGGCGCTCCGTCTTTGCACCTGCACACAGGTCGGGTCGGGGGGCTCAACTCGACCCCTCAGACGGTCAAGTCAGCGGATAGTCTTAGAGAGTTTTTTCTCCTCCTTTTTTACTCGAAGTGCGAGGGTTTTTATAGTGAAGGTTGCCGTTGCCTGATGTGCCCGCTTGTAGGGAGCAGGATCGTACTCCCGGTAACGTCTGACAGCGGTGTTGGCGTGGCGTGAAGGGTCGAGTCTGAGTAGGATATTAATGTGCCTCGGTCGGTGTTCCGGTCTGTTTGACCAAGTGCTGTCAGGTCAACCGAAGTGCGAAGCATCATCAGGGTAGCTGACGTCAGATCGAGTCTTATTGCCATTATTACCCTCATCAGAAAGTATAAACGTGAGTTTGAATTACATGACAAATTTGATTTTAATTTAATTTATAAGTTTAAACTTATTAAATTATTGATCAAACTTAATATATATCATTTGGCTCGCTCTTTGATCATACACTTACGAGTGGATACGGACTCTCTAAAGAGTAGCTTTGCGTATACGTATACGTGATGTGATATGGAGGAATATACAGGTCCTTCCAAAAGAAATAAAGCTCTCCTTATTTGAAAGGATGAAAAGGTTATGAATGACTTCCTTCCAAATCAAGCTTCTATATCAATTTAATTTAAAAAAAAAACTTCAAGAATTGGATCAAACCCAATAATATATATCATTCGACTCTTTTAATTCTTACAAATGTGAGATTGATATCTCACTATATCTCTATATTAAAATTTTAATTTAATTTAATATGTTGTTTGACTTTTCTAATATTTGAATTATTTTTTATAGACAAAAAAAATCTACGATTGACTTAGGAAGACGAAAGAAACTTTGTGTGAGTGGAATCCGCAAGCCGTAAACGACGGAGAAGAGAAGTAGGTATCGTGGAATTTGGAAACTAGAAAGCGTTGGTAGGATCGCAAACAAACGCGGATAGATTGGAGAGCTTCCTCCATCGGCGTCTCTTTCAAGCTTGCGAAGCTTCCCAGCGGTCAACATCTCGACGTGAACGCAACGCGGTCAGCCGCCATCCACTCCGACGACTTATGACTTCTCCAATTAAGGCTTTAGTTTCCATTCCTCCACTTTCTTTGAACTTCCCTTCTTAGGACTTCTCCTCGTCTTTGGAAACTGAGGAACGCCAAAACATTGGTCTTCCCGACTGATGAGTTAAATCGGTATTACAAACTCTTTATGGATTATATGCGAACATTCCTAATGATTGTCTCACTTTGATGTTAACTTTCCATGTTTTTCATCAACCATATTAATTAATGTTATATATTTTTACATGCTTTTGGTCTTAATGACTTGAGACTAAAAGGAAGTTGGAAAGTTACCTTTTTATGACTTCTATAGAATAACCGCATGTTTCCCTATCACAAATAATTAATATGAATATTTTTTAATACTGATAATATGAGAAAGCTCACCTCTCAATCATAAATAAAGTGACAATGATAAATAATTAATATGAACACAAACAACGTCACAGCTACCTAAATACAGTGATAATAATAAATCCAAAAGATAATATTTTATTCATATATTAGAATATTCCTTTAGACGTAGTCTACTTACCAATTTATTACTATTAAGCTTAATTTTTTATCTCAATTCTAACGTAAGTATCAAAGGAATCAAGTCAAGCACTTTATCTATCTCCTGTCTTTATATAAATCAATTGTTAAGCGAGCACCCGAATCACCTTCTTGGTCATTCCAACACTCTTACATATGTTTTACTATCGAGTCGAGCTATTACTGTCCACTATCAATTGATATATATATATATATATATATATATATATATATATATATATATATATATATATATATATATATATATATATATAT